TCCTTTCGGGCCTCGGCCTGTGTGGTGTCCTGAGGAGTCACCCGTCTCGCTGCCTTCGTCCACCCCGTTGAGCTCGTATCCCCTCACCCCTCTCCAGCATACGATGACGATTACTTCAGCCGGTGACCCTCAGGATCCGGACCGACGCCAGCAGACATGGCACCCGATCCGGCCGGCTAAGCCAGCTCCGGGCGCCGTCATCTACAGCCGTTGGATCCCCCATCTGCAGGAGACCTTCTCCATGGTGTCGCTTGACTGGCAGGATGCCGAGCACCTGAAGCTCTTCCACGAGTGGCAAAACGACCCTCGTGTGTCGCAGGGCTGGAACGAGACGGGCACCCTGGAGCAGCACCGCGAGTATCTGCGGAAGATGCACGTCGATCCTCACCAGGTGGCCGTCTTGGCCAAGTGGGATGACACTTACTTTGCGTACTTTGAGATTTACTGGGCCAAGGTAAGATGAGATGAGACGAGGCGGCTACAAGGAGGAAACGACTGTAACTGACCGACTATACAGGAGGACCGTCTCGGCAGCTACTACGACGCCGGCGACTTCGACCGAGGCCGCCACTCCCTCGTCGGCGACGTCCGTTTCCGCGGGCCGCACCGCGTGTCTGCCTGGTGGAGCAGCCTGATGCATTACCTCTACCTCGACGACCCCCGGACCATGTACGTCGTGGGCGAGCCCAAGGACAGCAACTCGACGGTCGTCATGTACGATCTGATCCACGGCTTCGGGCTGGACAAGTTTGTCGACTTGCCGCACAAGCGGAGTGCCTTTGTGCGGTGCCACAGGGAGCGTTTCTTTCAGCTCTGTCCGTTGGGGGATAACGAGAAGGCGGTTGGTGGGATGAGGATTGGGTTGGTTCCCAAGCTGTAGATGATGGTCAAAATGGCGGGCGCTGTAAAAGTACTACTTGTAAATTGTTATAATATTGGGTGTCATATTCGAGTCTCAACCAACGTATACATACAGAACATAAGCTTTATATATACAATCTATCCCAGAGCTTTTCAATAACAACAGTAAACAGTATCTTTTCTACCCAAACATGACCACCCCAATGTTATCCCCCCTTTACAACTTGGACGTCTTGGCCATCTTACTCAAAATCTCATCGCCCAGCTTCGCCATCTCAAACTTGCGAACCTTGCCGCTGCCCGTCAGGGGCACGTCCGCCGGCACGCCGTCCTGCCCCAGCCAGAAGACGTGCGCCGGCGCCTTGTGGTTGCCCAGCGTCTTGCGGACCCAGTCGCGGACCTCCTGGTCGGAGAGCTTCTTGGCGTTGTCGGCGAGCTCGACGAAGGCGCCGACGACCTCGCCGTAGTGCTTGTTCTTGAGGCCGACGACGACGGCGCGCGAGATGGAGGGGTGCGCCATGAGGCGTTCTTCGATCTCGAGGGGGTAGATGTTTTCGCCGCCTACATCAGTTAGTAAAATAGATAAGAATCAATGAGAGAGAAACCCAGCCGTACCTCGAATGATGATGTCCTTGAATCGGCCCGTGATGGTGCAGTAGCCGTCTTCGTCAAAGACGGCCTCGTCGCCCGTGTGCAGCCACAGCACCCCGGCCGCGTCCCGGACCATGACCTCGGCCGTCTTCTCCGAGTTGTTCCAGTATCCCGCCTGCAGCTGGTACCCGGCCATGCAGAGCTCGCCGCGCGTGCCAATGGGGACAATGTTGCCGTCGCGGTCGACGATCTTGGCCTGCGCGTGCGGCATCAGCGTCCCGACGGTGGTGAGCCTCCTGTGCATGGCGTCGTCCGTGAAGGCGTTGAAGCACGTGGGCGACGCCTCGGTCAGGCCGTAGCTGCTCGTAAACTCCGTCATGCCGAAGCGGTTCACCAGGAGCTCCATCAGGTAGCGCGGGACGGGGGCGCCGGCGATGATGCCCGTGCGGAGCCGGTCGCACTTGAAGCCGGCCGGCGGCTCGGCCTGGAAGAGGGAGTCGAACATGGCGGGGACGCCGTGGATGGCGGTGCAGTCCTCGTCGGAGATGGCGCGCAGGGTGGCGGGGATGTCAAAGATCTCGGCCGGGTAGACGATCTTGCCGCCGTGGGTGACGATGGCCAGGAGGCCGAGGACGAGGCCGAAGCAGTGGAAAAGGGGGGGAGGGCAGCAGAGGACGTCTTCGTGGGTGAGGCGCATTCTGTCGCCGATGAAGCGGGAGTTGTTGACCAAGTTGCTGCGAGAATCGGGACTGTCAGTATACGAATCCATACTATCAGATAATATCGGAACAAAATGAGACTTCAACACATACTGATGCGTCAACATGGCTGCCTTTGGTAGGCCCGTCGTGCCGCTCGTAAACTGCAGATTGACCACCTGGTGAGGCAGCACCTTGCTCATGACCCGATACAGCCTGTCGTGGTCCTTCCGAGAGCCAGCCTTGACGAGCTCATCATACGTCGGGTACTCGCCGCCTTCTCCTTCGCCTCTCAGGATGACCACCTTGATGGGCGACGCCTCGTTCTTGAGGTTCTGCAGCAGCGGCGCGTTGTTCGTCCGGCCGCCAATCGTGCGCGTCACGAAGAATACCTTGCAGTCGGAAAAGGTGAGGCCGTACATGGCCTCGGTCGCCGTGTAAGTGTTGTTGAGGATGACGAGGATGGCGCCGATCTTGGCCACGGCGAAGAAGACGGCCGCGTACTGCTCGCAGTTGCCGGCCATGATGCCCACGCGGTCGCCGACGCCGATGCCCATGTCGAGCAGCGACTGGGCCAGCGCCGAGCTCTGCTGGTTGAGGTCGTGATATGTCCATCGTGCGCCGGTCCAGGGGATGACGATGCATTCCTTGGTGCCGTATTGGTAGGTCTGCAGCTGGAGGAGCTCGCCGAGGGTCAGGTCGACGAGGGGAGGGTCGGACGGGCCATGGAGGAGGGAGAGTCTTTGCGTGGATGGGGAGGAGTATGGCTGGATGGTTGTTGATGGTGACGGTGATGATGATGGAGCGTCCATGCTGGCGGATCTTGTGAGAGAGCCTTTGTTATGTGACAATCATCTACTAGTGTTGCAGCTTTCTGGGAGATATCGGTGCCTTCTACAGATCACACGAGACGCACAATGCACTCATCTGTCTGCTGATTGACGCTTCTTCTACAGCACAGAGCCGAGGAACACCTAGCTGAGCCGGTTCATCGAGTCCATTCCATGCGTCGACTATTGCTTCCAGACCCACCACCTTGCCCGGCCATTGCAGCAGCAAGTTGCGTCTGTTAGAGCTGGTCCCGATGAAGCCTAGCAGTCTGTTGCATACGAGCACGTATATGACACCCGTTCTAGAGGACGTGTGTAGATCAGGCACACGAGGCCGAGAGAAGCAGAGGTCCATGTCCAGCTCCTGGGCCCGGCCCTCCTCCTCCGTTTCTCAATGCTTGCCAACGGCCATCCGAGAAATGCCGAGATCAGCATCAGGGCCCAGGTTCAGGTCCAAGCTGCCAAGTCGAACCCCGTGCGGCGATTTACGCGGCGTCTTTCGAAGAGTCAGAGATCCGAGTAATCAGATGATCTGATAAGATTTGATTTCTCACCATGGCTGAGGCATCGTCAAAGATCCACTTCGTCTTCTGTTAGTCGAAGCCCGGCGTTTTGCAGACAACTGTGGTGGTGCTACCGAAACTGGTCTTTGGCCCTTGCATTTGCCAGCATCGCGGACCGGGGACGTGAAATTTTTTTTCTTTATCAGATCCTCGGAAAGTGGTTCGTCGTGAGGCCCAAGAGTATCGGTACATGGCAGGGTTGTGGGTGGTGGTCAGGGGGGGAGGGTGGACGTGCCTTACTGGACGGACGAGCTCTTCTGCGAGAGCCGATGGCGGCATGTGAAGAGCCACTGCTATCCAGATGAGGATGCTGAGATTTTGCCGGCCAAGTAGAAAGTTCGAGTATGATTTCCGCATGAGGTGAGGCAATTGTTCAAGTCTATCCCGGTCTGGCGGAAGCAGTCCGTTCATTACCTACCTAGGGAGTACGGTACAGAGCCGGAGAAGTGGACGTCTCTCAGCAGAATAGCCATCTTACCGCGGGTTATCCTGTTCTCTTTCTCGATTCACAACATCAAGTACCATCTCTTGAGACCGTCGTTCTCCAAACGACAGACGAAAGGCTCTATTCTTTGCCTTTGCGAAAAAAAGCCGCGCCTCTGTCTGGTACGTGTACGTGTACAGCTTGACGCATGTCCTCCCGTATTCGCATTTCCACCGCCTTGGCAAAACAAATTTCTCTCCTCCATCTTCTTCCACCATCCACTCGTCCCTCCTCCGCTCTCCACCGTCACCCTTCACAAAAGCCAATCAACCGCCGTGATGGTGAAAAAAAGTTATCAGATCGTCTGAGAGCTCCGTTTCCAAGCTACGCAATTTCGTTTCCCCCACTTGGAGCGCTGGGCTGTCTCCCCACCATCTCTTTATCTGATCCGTCTTCTAGGCCGTGAGGAGAGTCCCGTATGTCCCTTCGACGTACCGCCAAGTTCTTTTGCAGAGTCACACCCCCCTCGCGCTACGATGGATGGGGTCAAAGGCCCTTGTCATGCATCAATTGAGGAGACACACCCCTCGCCTTGGGACCTGTACTCGTACATGGCTGCTCTCTTCTCTGTGACGCTCCTGGCAACTGCCGTCACCTCGCTGTTGGAGACGAATTCACGCTCCACACGATCGTCCGCCCGAAGCGTGCATGACATGCGAAAGCCACGATGCATGTAGGCACCGGTTTCGAGGAACCGGAAATGATGGGTGCAGTTGGCATGGCTCTGGGGCACGCGGGCATCATCGGAGGTGGGAAGGGGAAGTGACACCACGTCCGTTGTGGATGGAGAGAGGCATTTGCATGAGCGTGTTCCTGGGCTTCGGTAGCCAATGCTAAGCACCGAATCCCCACGCATGTCCATTCATGCTTCCTCGCGCTTGATATCAGCAGCAGAGAAGAAACGGAGCTTTGCTTACACCATTGATGCAAACTCCACGGCGTTGCCAAAGAACGTCTACTCAAAGCAGACGCCATGGCTATTGACGGAGATGGACATGGCGATATCAGCTCAGCCAAGCTGCCGCTCCCTTCCAGTGTAGCAACGGCCATGGATGCAAACGATGGAGTGGCCAAGACGCTGACTGCTGAGCCAACGACGCAGAGCGGCATCGCCAGCCCAGCCGACCTCGAGCAGCTATGGACGTGGAATCAACATGTACCTCCGTATATACAACGCTGTATGCACGACATCATATCGGAACGAGTCCAGCAGCAACCGCATAAAATTGCCGTTGAATCTTGGGATGGAAGCTTGACGTATCAAGAGCTGGACAGCCTCTCATCACAGCTCGCCAGGCAGATCCTGCAGAAGAATGCGGGATCAGGTAGCAGAATCCCGCTATGCTTCGAAAAATCCATGTGGACCGTCGTTGCGGTCCTGGCTGTCATGAAAGCCGGTGCAACATTCTCGTTGACTGATCCCAGCCAACCAGTGGCACGACTCCAGACAATCGTCGAGCAGACAGGGGCAGACCTCATCATTACCTCGGTGGCCCAGAGCGAGCTTGGCAAAGAAATCTCCAGGCCAGGAGGACAAGTCCTCGCGATATCTCGAGACTTTTTCGATGGCATCAAGGAGCCAGACACGGAAACGGCGTTGCCTCAAGTGCCTGCAGAAACGCCAATGTACATCATCTTCACCTCTGGAAGCACAGGGAAGCCAAAGGGCGTCGTCATTACCCATGCCAACTACACCAGTGGCGCGATTCCCAGAGCAGATGCCGTTGGCTACAAAGACACCTCTCGGTGCTTCGATTTCCCCTCGTACGCTTTCGACGTGAGCATCGACTGCATGCTGTGCACGCTGGCCACTGGAGGACAAATCTGCGTGCCGTCGGAGGAAGCCAGGATGAACGACCTCAGCGGCGCCATTCGACAGAGCAAGGCCAACATGGTCCACATGACGCCTTCTGTGGCCAGAGTCTTGGATCCTGACATTATCCCTTCTCTGGATGTTCTGGGGCTTGGCGGCGAGGCGGTTTCTGCGAGCGATGCAGCCGCTTGGAGCCAGCACACCAGTTTAATCATTGCATACGGCCCGTCCGAATGTACCGTGGGCTGTACCATCAACAACCAGGTGACTGTCTCGACGGGTATCGGTAAAGGCGTTGGAGGTGTGACCTGGATCGTCGATCCCGATGACCACAATGTCCTCATGCCAGTCGGCGCCGTTGGAGAGCTCATCGTAGAAGGTCCGGTGGTCGGTGTCGGCTACCTCGATGAGCCTGAAAAGACAGCAGAGGTCTTCATCGAGAATCCGTCTTGGTTGGTTGCCGGCTACAATGGCTTCCCCGGGCGAACTGGCAGGTTGTACAAGACCGGAGATCTGGTTCGATATGAGAGCAACGGTTCCGGCTCCATCGAGTTTGTTGGCAGAAAGGATCAACAGGTGAAGCTTCGAGGCCAAAGAGTCGAGCTCACGGAAGTCGAGCACCACCTACGGGCCTGTCTGCCCAGCGGCATCAAGGTCGCAGCAGAAGTCATCAAGCCAGAGAATGGAGGTGCCCCTTCTCTGGTGGCGTTCCTTTCAGAGTCTGCCTCTTCAGGCGTCATTGGGGTAGATCCGGCCATCGTTGAACCGTCACCGGAGCTGAAAACTGCCCTGGCAACTGTCAATGCGGCCATGGGATCCAGAGTGCCCCGGTATATGGTCCCGGCAGCGTTCGTGACCCTTCAGCACATGCCTTCGTTGGTGTCCGGGAAGACGGACCGGAAGAAACTGCGGGAGATTGGGTCTGCGATTCCACGAGAGGTTTTCAGCCGAATGCAAGCACCCGACGCCCAGGAAGAGGAGGAGCCGGAAACCGAAACGGAGAAGTTGTTGCAGCAAGCATGGGTCAAGGTCCTCGGCTCCGATGCAAACATCTACAGGCAGAGCAACTTCTTCGCTCTAGGGGGTGATTCTCTGCGTGCCATGAGGCTCGTAGTCACCGCCCGCGAGAGTGGCATTGCCTTGACTGTTGCTGATATCTTTACGAATCCGACTCTCAGCCACATGGCCTCAAAAGCCGCTCTAGTCTCGGAATCTTCTGTCGATGAGGTTCCCCCCTTTTCACTTCTGGAAAAGGACTGGGACGAGGAAACTGCGCGAAACGAGATTTCCGCTCTCTGCGGCGTTGAAGCCAGCGCCGTTGAGGATGCTTATGCATGCACTCCCCTTCAAGAGGCCCTCATGGCCCTGTCGGCCAAAGTCAAGGAAGCATATGTCGCCCAGAGAGTCGTCTGGCTGAAAGACATGGCCACAGCTGAGAAGCTCATCGCCGCCTTCGACGCCGTCCAACAAGACAGCCCCATACTGCGCACGAGAATCGTGCAGATACCCGGACGGGGCCTTGTTCAGGCAGTCATCAAGGAGAGATTGCACAGGGTCCTTGGCACCAACCTCAATGAGTATCTAGTGAATGACAGGAATGACCCAATGGAATTGGGCAAACCTCTTGTTCGCTACGCTGTTATTGATGATAGCACAACCGGAAAGGTCAGCTTTGTGTTTACCATCCATCACGCGTTATACGACGGCTGGTCCATGCCCTTGATCGTGGATCGAGTAAACAAAGCCTATACCGGCCAGACCTTGTCACGGCCCGCTGAGTTCAAACACTTCATCAAGTATCTGTTGACCATGGAGACGGCTAAATCCGCCAACTATTGGCGAGAGCAGCTTTCCGGAGCCAATGCCTTCCAGTTCCCACCTCTACCTTGGCTGGGCTATCAACCGCAGTCTGATTCATTGTTAGAGGAATACGTTCCCCTCCCAGACGGCAGAGCCTCCAGTGCGACCACTGCAACGGTCATCAGAGCAGCCTGGGCTCTCGTAGCTTCGCAGTACATCAACAGTACCGATGTCATCTTCGGAGAGACGTTGACTGGCCGCAATGCACCTGTTGTCGGCGCCGAGGAGATTGAGGGTCCCATGATCACGACCGTTCCTGTGCGGGTGCAGATTGACAGAAATATGCGCGTTTCCGACTTTCTGCAAGCCATCCAAGAGCAAACTGTGGAACAGATTCCGCACGAGCATTTCGGCTTGCAACATATACGGAGACTCAGCCCCGATGCTTATGAGGCATGCGAGTTGAAGACCGGCCTGGTATTGCATCCAAGCGCCGAGGATGACGCATCTCCTGAGTCGGATGATCTGCCTGCGAGTCGTCTTGTGCCGGCGGGAGATGCAGAGGCTGCTCAAGAGGCTCTCAAGTTCAACACTTATCCGCTCATGCTGGTCTGTTCCATGGATCCGCGAGGGTTCCTTACCATGGCCAGTTTCGATTCCAAGACCGTTTCCGTTCCTGCAATGCAGAGGGCCTTGAACAAGTTTAGAGAGATTGCACAATTCTTGTGCAAAGAAGGCTCCTCCACACTCGGCAGCCTTCAGTCGTCGTTGCTTGATGAGGATGTTGGCGAGCTTCGGGATGCAATGCTCAAGGCAGACATCACTGATGCAAGCAAGGCGTTCCCTGGCATCCAAGCAGCCTATGTCGCTGATGCAGCAGATCCAAACCGACTTGTGCCGCTCTCAGCGGTCGGTGAACTGATTGTACAATGCCCGGGAGAATTGCAGAGCTTGACGGAGATCTCTCCGCCAAGTTGGCTCGAGGCAGTATCCAGCTCGCCAGCCCTTGCACAAGGAAGGTTCTACAAAACAGGACGGTTGGCGAGATATAATGCAACTCAGAATCCCGTCTCTATCAAGCTGATGGATACCAGCAGCCTGACAACTGCACAAACGGCACCAGCCGGGGTGGCCAAGAGCAGGATATCAGCAACATCCAGCAGGCAGCGCAAGCTACGCAGTCTTTGGGCCCGCGTGCTGCGTCTGAGCGAGGAGGACATTGGCCTGAACGATGGGTTCTTCGTCATAGGAGGTGACTCCATTGCAGCCATGAAGCTCGTATCAGAAGCTCGGCTCGAGGGCATCAAACTGAGCGTGGTCCAGATCTTCCAGAAGAGGACGTTGTACGAAATGGCCAGCGTCATGGAGGAAGTCGAGAAGCCTGCATCATCCGCAGACGTAGCCAGCACGAGAGAAAAGACGCTGAAGCCCTTCTCCCTGCTAAGCCAACAAGATGAAGACGGCAAGCTCCGCTTCGTCAACGACATCATCGCGCCTCAGTTGGCCGACCCGTCCTGGCGCATCAGCAACGTGCTCCCTACGCGTCCCCTGCAGCAGATTGCCGTCAGGGGCACGACTCAGCTCCCACGCTTCTCGGCGCGGTATGAGCTCATGTACTTCGACAAGGCCATCAATCGCGACAAGATGATTGCGAGTTGCAATCAACTCGTCGCCCGCAACGAGATACTCCGCACCGTCTTCACAGAGCACAACGACGAGGGCTACGCCGTTGTCCTGGAACAACTCGTCCCGCAATTCGTCGAATACGCAGTCGACGGCGATGTCGAGACTTTCGCCCATCAACTCTGCCGTCTGGATGCGATGACGAAAATGCCCCTTGGCTCAAGCTTCGTGAAATGGTTCCTCGTCGAGTCGAGCACCGGGCAATCATGCCTCATCTTCCGACTATCCCACGCCCAGTACGACGAGATATGCCTGCCCATCATCCTACAGCAGCTCTCAGGCCTCTACCAAGACGAACCAGTCCAGGAAACGGTCCCCTTCTCCGCCTACGTCCACCACGTCCTGAGCAAGAACGTCCCCGAAAGCATCCCGTACTGGACAGACCTCCTCCAGGGCTCGTCCCTGACCGTGCTGAAGCCCGACATCCCCGTGCAGCAGAGGAACCACTTCGCGATCCAGAAGACGGTGGACATCTCCTCGCGCCTCCGCGACATCACCGTGGCGTCCCTGCCGACCGCCGCCTGGGCCCTGTGCCTCGCCCGCCGCCTCTCCCTCCGCGACGTCGTCTTCGGCGAGGTCGTCAGCGGCCGCAACATCGACTTCCCCCACGGCCCGGCCAACGCCATCACGGGCCCCTGCTGGCAGTACATCCCCGTCCGCGTGCGCTTCCCCCGCGGGTGCACCCCGCTCGAGGTCCTCTCCGCCGTGCAGCACCAGCACATTGCCAGCTCCGCCCACGAGGGCATCAGCCTCGGCGAGATCGCCTCCCTCTGCGGCACCACCTGGCTCGACAACGGCATCAAGGCCTCGGACCTGTGGTTCGACTCCGTCGTCCACCAGGACGTCGAGCACGTCGAGAACCTCGCCTTCGCCGCCGCCGGGAGCGGCCGCCTGGAGACGGTCTACCCGCACGAGGAGCCGCTGCGCGAGTGGAAGATCCAGGCCTTTGTCCACGACGGCAGCAGCAAGCTGACGCTGGAGATTGTCACGTTTGAGAGCTGGGGAGGGTTTGCCAGGGGTCTGCTGGACGACTTGGTGGACGCCGTGGAGACTCTGCTCAAGGATCCTCATGCCAAGTTGTTCAACGACGACCTCGAGGGTTGAGGTGATGCGCAGCATTACTTATACGTAGGTTAGCTAGGAAGATCAATCACGAATTCTCTGCATTAAAGTACTTTGAAGTTTTACTCAAAAGAGCACATAACTGTTCCACGGCCCCTCTGGATGTGCTTCCGTTCCCAACACGTGCATCACTTTCTTGCTCATACCTAGCGGAAGGAGCTCTATGCAAGAATCGACGACGAGGTTTATTCAAACGTGGAGAATATATTCATTTCATCATTAATCAAAGAAGATATATAATAACAAAGCGAATCCCCGAGCGGCGGTGGCCATTCAAAGCCTCTTCGTCGCCAAACCTGTACGCTTGATTGGGTATATAACAACAGACCTCTCCGATGCAGTGCCTGTAAATCGTAAACAAAGAGCGCCCTCCAGGCTCAAGTCCAAATGGCAATTTCCAGTTTCTCAAGACGCCGCTGCCTCCTATTCCATACATGATATGATTTCCCATCCTAGATCATTATGCAGTAGGCCCAAATCAATGCTTCCCAGTCGATTTCGACTCGCTTGGCCAAACAAGTCCTTGCAAATGCGGCAAATGCGGCAATCAATGGTGTGAACCGTCCGGTTGTGGCCCCAGGCCAAGTACCTTCTGAATACTCTTGCGGATGCCCGTGCCAGCGTGGAGTTCGTCCTCCTTCTCGCGGCCCAGTAGCCCAAAGCTCAGTCTACGAGCAGTCATGCTGATGGAGCCCCCGTTGGCCGCCGCCGCCTTCTTAGCCTTCTTGCGCCGCATGGTGACGACAATGGGTTCGGGAGCTGACGGCTTAGGAGGCCATTCGCCGTCGCGCTTCCATCCCGTGACGCACGCGCGGATCATGTCTGCAAGGTTGATGGGGCACGACGGCTGCAGGTTGTTGAGAATGACCTTGTCGTACAGGCTGAGATAGATTGAAGGAGTGATGGAAGCTCGGAAAGAGTTGTTGGGCGGTAGGATGGGGTGCGGAATAGGGAGGAGCGTCTGGACAGGCAGTAGATGATCAGCAATGGGGTCGGAGTCTCTGGAGCTCTGTGCTTTGAGGTCTCTATCGTCCCTGGCAATGGACGACGAGTCGGATACCCCACCCGACTGGCTATCCCCAAGCGAGGTGGAATTGATCAGAGTCGGCGATGGTGGGGATCCCGAGATGGAGCGACGGAAGAAGAAGCGCCGAGGTGAGCGAGGAGAAACGGGTGGTGAGAGTACTGGCTTGCTGCGGACGCGAACCGTCTTTGCACCGGTCCAGGCGTTTCGCCGCGCCTCAAAACAGGCCAGTCCCTCGTTCCAAGTCATTTCGTCTCTGGCGGCTCTGCGGCGTAGAGCTCGCTTCTCCAGAATGGAGATTCTCGTGGCGGTGTCGGTAGCCTGGAGCTTGTCCAGAGAAGTGATGGCAGCCTCGTCATCGGACAGATCAGAGTACCAGTCCATACGAGGGCGGTAGTGGACGGGATCCTCTGAGATGACGCTGTAGACTGAATCCGTGTCGTCGTCGTTGTCGTCGTCAATGTCCTCGTGGTCTGATGGACCCTCACTCAGGTCAGTGCTGGATGCGGCGATTTCGACATCTTGATTCGCCTCATCCCGCATATCTTTGGCGGAATCGACCCTGATGGCCTCAGGTTCAGCATCCTGCACAGAGGCGTCCTTCTGTTCATGTGTGCCACTCGATTTCTCTGCGGGTTTCTTTTCAGACTTGCGGGATGGGGACCATTGGAAGTCCCAACTGGTCTTGACCTTGGCAGCCAGATACCGCTTGATAGCGTCCTTTTGCCTGTACTTGTCCTTACTCAGGAGGTCTTCGTACTCTGCAGAAAGCCAAGGGGGCGGGTTTGTCGAGGGATGCTGGGACTGAGAGTTTTGTGAGCGCAGCCTGGACAAAGGAGATCGAGCCCGTTTGTAAAAGTCTGAGAAGATCATGGCTGTGTCGGGATCGGCAGCCAAGGAGATTGCCTCTGGAACTGAAAAGGCTGGCAAGGAAGCGTTGATGGTGTCTTCCAGGGAAGACGAGAGGTGCCGATGGCCGAGACTAATGGCGGCAGTGGGATCTATAGCGTCTGGGAGATTCGGCAAGTAAGATGTCAGCACCTTGTTGTCTACGAGTATGTATGAAGAACCCAATCCAAGCAACAGGGCAAGGATAAGCGGGGGGGCGGTGTGCAAGTCGATTGGCAACAGGCGGCTGTATGGAGATGTGAAGATGCAACTAGTGCTGAGCGCCGCAGCTTGCAGCTTGTGATGAAGAGGTGAAGACAGAAAGGCGGCTGAATTGGGGGTGGCAAGCGGCAAAGGGTAAAGCGAAGTGATGAGATGAGATGAGCTGATGGTGGAGCGGCAGTGACAAAACGGACGGCTTGTGTGTTTTGTTTGTTGATGCTGATGCTGGAGCTGCCGTTGCACGAACCTCCACTACCGGACGAGCCAGTGCATCGTCAGAGGGCGATGTTTCAACGGCTTGTCTCAGCCCGTGGCCGTGACCTGAGCAGAAAGTGAGGGGAGAGGAATGCCGGTGAAGATGACGGTGGAAATGCGGTAGCAATGAAAGCGATATGAATGATATAAGACGAGGAGGCTGAAGAGGCGGAACGGGAGCGAGTATATAAGGGAAAATAATGAAAGAGAGAAAAAGAGCAAGGATGATGTTTAATAGAAAGGAAAAGGGAAGTAAAGGAAGCAGTGAAAACGAGGTACAGGAAACAATTCAAGATAGTCGGCAATGGTATAGTTTGGGTAGAGTTTGGAGGCGCCAGGTTCATGCTATTCGTCTGCCAGGTACCGTGAAGAGAAGAGCAGCCTCTTTGCTCACCCATGCCAGCAACAAGGTACGGCGTACAAGAGAAAAGCTCACACACCGTGCCGGCAGTGAATCCTTGCACCGCTGAGCACAAGAAGCAGGTGATGCAATGTCTCGGGAGGGGAGGGAGCTTGGCTTGTACGGAGTACCGCCCTGGCATGCATGCCAAACTAACTCGATGGCAGTCGTTGGTACCGCGGCTGTCGCAACGAGTCGGAGTTTGGTGGCTTGCAAAGACTAAAAGCTTAACCACACGCAGGAGAACGAGGTGGAAGTGATGGGAAACGGAACAGAGGAAGAGGCAGTGAGGGCTGTAACGCGGCAGCAGGGAAGAAGGATCAGGATTCGGAAGAAAGGATTGGCATACGAGGCAGAGGAATGCGAGACTCCACGGCTGTGAAACGAACAAGTTGTCGTTTGCTGATGTCAAGAGAGAGACAGAAAAGAGACAAACGAGGGTGAAGAGACAACAAAAGGGAAAGGAAACCAAGATGGACACAGAAAAAGAAGGTCGAGACTCACCGTGTGATGGCAGAGAAAGCAGTCTCAGTTGTTGATCATGGCTGTAAGTCGCCGCTGCTGCAGAAGAGGAAGAGGCAGAGTAATAGGTGGCGTAGGTGATGGTGTCGCTGGTGCTGGCGGTGGATGAATGGGGAGAGGACGACAGCTGCCGAGGCGAGGCGGGAGACGCAAGGGACGCAGAGGCAGAGGCAGAGGCAGAGACAGAAGAAGCCGAAGCTGTCGTAGGGGCATCCGGAGAAGAAGAGGCAGAGGCAGAGGGTGAGGCAGAGGAAGAGGCTGTGGCGAGAGACGCGGTCACGCCTGGTGGTGGCGGCTGCGACGACATGATGATGGGCTGCATATAACAGGCACACGAGCCACACGAACCAGGGCAAATAACGTGCAGACGGTAGTCGGTCGACCTTGGTCGGTGTACTCGTATGGTGGCACTGCAGAGGAATGGGAATGTCCTCCTCCGGATAGGCAGGGCAGGGCAGGGCAGGCAGATGCAGGATCCCCGGCAGACGGAGAGACAAGACAGAGAGGAGAGCCAAGCGGGAGCCGATCCCAGTCCAGTCCGGTCTGATCCAATGGCAGCCGGCAGCCCGTCAGAAAGTGGAATGCAGAAGCAGATGCAGAGAGAAAATTGATCAATCACGAGAGGGCCAAAAGCAGGCCGGCTTCGATCAGGCCAGGTCGTGTCGTTGGTCAGGTCAGTTTCGGGTCGGTGTCAGGCATCGACGGGAGGAGAAAATTGAGATGGGGGGAGCCACAGCTGCAGAGTTAGCCAGCGCCCTGGTGGGCTCTACAGGGCTTCGCAGGGCTTTACAGGGCTTCACGGGGCTTCACGGCGCATGCAAGCCCCCCGCTGCAGCAGAGCCAAGCTGGGCGACGGTCGTAGCGCGATACCTGGTCGCCGAGTGCCTCTGCTCATATGAAATGTGCTCGTCTACCTGATGCCGAGGTACCGCCCTACTGCACTCTTCCGTGTCGACTGCTGAGAGCGCTAAGGCCATCGCCTCGACGCCATCACGAACCCGATGGATTCATCCAGCGGATCCTCTTGGCCGCAAATCGACAGAACGTGCCATCGGGAGACGCCGCCGGTGGGGCAGCCGGACGGACAGAGACAAGCTTGACGAGACAGGGCTGGACGGGTTCATGTTCGTCGTGTGACTCTGCGCAAAGGGCAATCGGGCTCCTCTGGTTTGCTCCGGCGCGTGGCACCACCTGCGGATCGGCGCATCGTGGATGGTGCGATTGTTGATGTTGCTCTCAGCAGGACTCAAGGGTCAGCCAGGCTAACACGATACTACAGTATTGTATACGATGATGCCGTCAAGCGATGAGGCTCGTCACATTCGTTTTCTTTCTCTTTTTGCCAGTCGAGGAGACGCCAGGGTCGTGCCCTGTTCTGGCACGTTGATACTGTACTTGTACATACATGCAGTATGCTTGTTCTTGTTGCCATCACACAACACGCAAATCCCCCCATGCTCTTCCATCCGATCATCCTACCTGTCACATCGACAACCTCGGTAATACAACAACAGCAGACCATCCGAGTCAGCCAGACAACGGCAAGACATGAATCCTCCCCGAGTCAACATGCTTGCTCAACCGCCCTCTACGTTACCATCATCATCAGCAGTGCACGAGTCAAAGTGCATACACTGGAGGTTGGGCTAAAGCAAGAAAGGCCTACCATCTGTCACAAGTCAAGCTCATGCTCGATTACAAACCGCCCAGAGATGCGAGCTTGTGTGCTTTGCATGCCAAGGAGATGACACTGCCCAGAGAAAGAGTTAAAAGCTGCTGAGTGAGACCCGTTATTGGGAGGTTCATGCATTATTCCACATAGCCCTGACCAAGGCAAAGCGCCTCCCCGCCCGGCTTCTTACCTGATGCTGATGCTTCTCCTCTGTCAAATGCCTTCCCTTGACCGTTCACCACCACGGAATACGCGGCGCCACCGCAATGCTACCCACACTGCAGTATTACTCGTAAATTTTTTTTCACAAGCTTGACAAGGCATCTATCTCATCAACTCGTAACCGCCTTCAAAGAAAGAAGAAAAGGATCGTCCATGTCATACCCCAGGTCTAGGCGTCTAGGCCTCTTCCGGGTCCCGGCCATGTTCATAGACCCCTTTAGCCCCAAGCCATCGTGCACAGCTGTGATCTAAAAGCGTCCTCCATCATCAAGCACTCCAACCCTTCGTCCGCGTCTGACAAACTGGCTTGACCGGGCTTTCTGACCGGACCCTGTCCTCCTCGTGCTGCTCACTACTATCCATTAGACTGGTCACATACATACGTCCTATTACATGTCGAGCAAGCCTGATGGCAGCCTTTTCCCCTGTAGCCTCCCATCCCTCCCTTGCCTCCCTTGCCTCCCCCGCTTCGTTTGGTCGCTTCTCCCTTTCACTATCTCTTACCCCGCAATCTAATACTAGCAGAAGATGCAATCTACAAAACCAACCGGCCTCTCAGAGCTAGTACTGGATGGAGTAGTCTGCCAGAGAGGAGGCGATAGTGAAGCGAGAGAGAGAGGCATGTGCTCACGAACCTGGTTGGGTGGCTCCGTGGCTTGATTCGTGGCTGCTAGCTATATGCTATTTTGCTTGGTATCAGCTGAGACAACGCCGACGAATCGACGCTTGGCTTTTTTTCTCATTACGACTACTACTACCAGCAGCTCCCCCCGGCCTGCATCCCAAAAACAACCGAGGATCTAACAATTGGCCAGAAGTGCGAAGAGAAACGAGGAAACGTGCGAATGCTACGCTGCTGTAAAAGCGGTATGCACGAGCGGGGAGTCCATCCGTGTACTCCTGCTTGCACACACTTGTCTGAATCAAGAGACCAAGTTAGTACATGTAGATACGCGTAGGAAGCTGAGCTGAGCTGACCCCGTCATGTGTACCCGGAGGAGTAAAGTATGTACTTGTAATAGTCTCAAAACGATCTATCACCAGCCACGGGTGCCACAGTCCGACCAGCCAAGCAATGTAAAAGTTGCCAGTAGGCCAAGAGGGAAACGACAACACCAGGTCCCATCACGGCCTTGGCTAAGAATCACCAATGGAAAGCATGGATCAAAGGCTTGGAGCGTCTTGTGCCAACATAAGGCAGAGGTGAACTTGTGTCGGTATCATGTTATGCCTCGTCATATCGCTGACAGGTGCTTCGCCAAATATCATCTCTTTTCTTGTACTCCGTAGCCCCGGTACAAGAAGAGGACTGAGCATTGCGGTTTGGGCGCTCGTTTCAGCATCTAAGCAGAAGCATTGGGATAGATTGAAGCAGCCAGTAAAGATAGCAATGAGGACAAAAGGCCTGCTCCTTCAGCGCTCACCTCAACCCCTTTGGCTGGCACCACCCATCAGCTCAAGCTCCCTATTAGGGTCCATTCGCCTTGTCGGTGATCAAGTGAAACTAGCTGCGAATAATGAAAGAGGCTCCCATGAGGATCGTCCATATCGGTCTGTTGTTGGTTTTGAACCTCTGTATGTTACGATATACTTCGGGGAGCCTACCAATACAGACGAGTAGCTGCAATCATCAAATCATTGCCTGACTGCTCTCGAAGATTGAACACCACAAAGAGCACCGCCGAGTAGGCTCCCCAGTACACTAACAACTCCCAATTGCCTACCTACTCAGTACTTATGCGCATTGCGATGAAAGCCCACGTTATCAAATACTTCCCCGACTCTGAACGGGTACCTCTGAGCTCCTTCGACAAAGTGAGACCCTTACAGACCACGAAATGACTACTGTTCAAGATCAATCATGGAGACAAATCCTGCGGAAGAACGGAGACCCTATTTCGTATGGGGCGAGATGTATCTCGTCGTGAGTGAGCCGCTGCGCTTCATCGAACAGCATGTGTCCTTCCACCCCATCACCAGGCCATTTCCCCAACCGTCATCTTGGCTCTGGTCAGGCTTTTGCATCGACCAGCAGTCTGAGCCGCGACTAGGCGTCAAGGTATAGACTCGATACATTCAGCAATATTCCTGTCTGGGAACAATACGCGTAGATAGTTGTGGTCACAACAGCCAGTAACCTCAAGACGAGCGTCCATGGCACTTCAAATCCATTAGAACTCATTAGGACCACGGAGGATAGCAGCAGCATCAAGTAGCAAATTGCTCAATCTATCCTTTGTATTACCGTTTACCAATATGTTACCTCTTGACAAGCCCTGCTCACGCCCCTGTGCCCATACGCCCTTCCTTTGCCCCCAAGTGTTGTTGTTGCTGCCTACCATAAAGATTCTCCCCATTCTGTTTCCTATTGCAAAATCATAAAAGACTACCAGGCCCGAGCCAGACACTCATCGCAACCTGGCTCAGGCGACTTCCATTACGAGCCTCCCCGACGACTTCTCTGACGACTTCTCACTCTTCTCTCCAAACAGGACACCAGCGGGGCCATCCATGACCTCGTCAGGCACGGCAACGAGGTTACCATTCTTGTTGCTAACCCAGCGAATAAAGACGGGGTTGGCCTTCTGCAAGTCCGCCTCCGACGTTTCGGCAACGGCTTTGCGATTGATCTTTGGGGCTTGCTTCTTAAGGAGCTTGTTGATGGTCTCCATCTGTAGGGGCGGTATTAGCATTGTGTGCGGATATATCGACGCTTGATGCGCCACGAGAGCATTCGGGCAACTCACTTTGACTTCCTCGTTACGCTTCTCGCTGAGATTGCGACGCCTTCTGGCCATCTCCTGGCGCCGCATGGACAGTTCCTCGGCGGTAAACACCTTCTTCACTTGGATCTCTGTATCAGGGAGTCAGTGGCATGGTCTTGGATATAAAGCAAATTGCACGTCTATATGATATGTGCCGTGCAGACGCGCGGTATGAGGACTCACCATCAGGCAGCTTCATGAACTCTTGGGGGATATCCTCGAAGCGCGCCCTCTGCCTCTTGGTCATCTTGGCAAGATCCGGGGTTTCGGCTCGGCTGCCTTCTTCGCTGTCGAGGTCTGAATCGCCGTTTGCCCCTTGCTGCATGGCCATCTCATCGTCTTCCTCAACGTCCTCCTCCTCGCCGGCAACCTCTATTTCCTCTCCTTCGGCGTCTTCATCCGCCATGGTCTGATCCCCGTAGACAATGGTATCGTCACCAATGTCGCTGTCTGCGGGGTCGCTGAGCTCGTCATCATCATCTTCTTCCTCTTCTTCCTCGTCTTCCTCTTCGTCCCGATTGACCCTGGATGAGGTGACCTTGACCGTGGGCCTCGGCTTGGTAGCTCTTGAGTTCTTTGCTGAGGGACGCGAAACGTCATTCGGGGTCATGTCGATGTCGCCATCTGCGTCTTCTTCGCCCTCGGCATCAACTTCCATCTCTTCCTCGCCTTCAGCATCCTCGTCCATTTCGTCATCGTCCTGTGCCCTTGTAATAACCTCTTCCTCCTCGTCTTCTTCATCTTCTTCATCTTCATCGTCGTCGTCCTCATCATCCTCCACCACCACCTCTTCCTCCTCTTCCTCTTCCTCGTCGTCGGGACTCGAGTCTATCACATAGCTCTTCTTGCCGCCGCGATTGCGCTTCCCGGTCACGATTTCGCCACCTTCAAACGGGTCGATGCGGCGATTGCCTCCCCTGGCAGCTTGCCGTGATTTGCTGTTTGGGAGCTTGACGGTGACGCTGAGATGCGTCTCTTCTGGCGAGGAGGCGGTATCGCGCGAGGCCGCCGCGCCACCAGCGCGTCCCGTCCTTCGTGATGATGACATGTTGGTACCTGAGTCTTCTTTTTCGCTGTCAGCCCATCTGGCGTGGACAGAAATCACTTCTTTGGCCTTTGCAGCGGCCGACCGCCGCGGACGTGACGACATGTTGAGGATGATGGGGGATGAGCGCCGTCTGCACTGGCAGATGCCCGGGGGAAATGTCTGGCTGATGCCGCGTTTGTGGGTTTTTGTGCTGCGCCGCGACCGTGTGTGTCTCTTGTCATGCGAGCAACAGTGACGGGTGCTTGCAAGAGGGATCGCTTGAGTGACGTGCACCTGCGGCGTCGTCGTTCGTTGGGATAAGCTCGGATTCAGCCACTAAAGGCAGGCCCGCGCATCTGGGATTATGTGCGGACGCGAGCATCTGCTCAGGCAAATAAATTTCCACGGCCAGAGCTGATCCAGCACCCAAAACAGCAACTCTGCCGCGGGTTGGCTCTTGGGGAAGCTCTGCTTGCCATTCGCGCCACGCAACCCTGCCGGAGAGGGACGTCGACGTCGAGGCGCCGGACCAATGAAGCAGCCAGGCGTGTTTAATAGTTGTGCACTCGCTCCTCCGCGACCAACGAGACTACAACCTCGACGAGACACACGCAGGATTGCTCAACCTCATCACTTGAGAGGGAGGCGAGGATGAGGCTATCGCCAATTGCCGATTGTCGGGATGCTGCACTCGACAGCCTCCGTCAATGGCGCTGGTCACAGAAGCCAGTGATTGTGGGTAAGGCCTCGTCCATCGGGATGAAGTGATGGATCAAGTTTCACCGTTGGTTTATCCGTGGGAACGGCTCCCGTATCACGGCGACAGACGCAGCGCAGCAACAGGTAGCCGATCATGGCGCATCACATCCGCCGAGGCTGAGAATCGTCCACGACGAACAAAAGGAACTGCCGGGTCGCCTTACCTGATGCCTTTGTCGGCAGATGCAGCCAACGACGGCTGTTCTCGGTGTGGTTCTTGATGGACCCAAGCGGCGCAATCACGATACGCGTGCTGCAGGCGTATGCGAGAGCAGGTCTGCCAGGATCAGTCGCGCGGGACCTGTTGCGTCCCTGTTTCGAGGAATGGATGCAACACGCTGAGCCGATGGCGCGGGCAGTCGTAGTTGGTGCTTCTGCTGAGTGCACCTCTGTCGCAAACTCCAACAGCGAGGGCGAGTCTGACGGCTGTCGAGCGTTGATCCCGCAGACGGCAGGGCGAGTGTCAACGTGAAGCCGCAAATTCCAAATCGGCGGTGCTGATCGCCAAGGCGCGAGGGAGGGGAGAAAACAAGACGAACAAAGGCGTCTAGTCTCGTCTGCCGGATAATTGTAGCCGCAATTGCAAGTAAATCAGCACTACTTGGTGGCCACGGCTCTTATTCTGCAGCTGTATCGCAACTGCGTGTTGATTTTTTGGTGTTGAGGGAGCCGATGAACGACTGAGAGTTGGATGACCCCTAGGCCCACTTTTGTGACTTTAACAGCGCCTTTGCTGGTCCGGCGTTGACTTGATCAGAAGCAGTTGTCTACGAGGTTCATCATTGTCTTTGCTTTGGAATTGATTCAATTTCTTGAAGATGAAGCGATCCGAGCCTCATTGACTGGACTCGCGTCTGTTCGCCGTCTCTGGGCATCTAGACTTTGCGGATAATCCTCCATTATCTGCAATGTGCTCCCGTCACACTCGATGTCACTTCAGGGTAGCGTTGGATCAACCGTTTGGTCACTGCAGAGTCGCAGCACGACACAGGTACTAGAAGATGCCTCTATGCTTGGCGATCAATTGGTAGTTCATAAAATATGAACAAAATATCAAGACACACAACATAGCGAGAAATTACAATCGCAGTGGGTGGTGATCCAATGCTTTCAGCATTAGGTGCTGTCAGTTACAGGCATCAGAAGTCCTGGTAAGGTGTGGTCGGCGTTAGGTACTTTAAAGGTACCCCATGCAATTGGCGGATGGTCCAGCAAGTCCAGCTACAATACGAAAGTATCATTGGCTCGGAACATTGGTAAGCCTCAGTGCTGCGCCTGCACATGCCGAGGCCTGCGACAAAGCCGGGTCTTACCCGGCCAACCGACCTCCCAAATGTCAATCCGATGCCATCGCTCCAGCTGACATTCACTCCTGATGTGAAGATAGATTTCCCACACAAGAGACACAGACAAAGATGGACGACTCAGAAGACAAATCGTCGCCCGACAGCGTCCCCAAATGGCAGCTCAACGCGCCCGCCGACGACGACGACGAACACGAACCCAACACGGAGCACACGGCGCAGGCGCAGTCCCAGTCGCAGGCGCAACAGCATGGAGATGAAGCCCACGCGGACAGGCTGCAGGTCGCGCGCCGGTTTCTGGAGGACGACGCCGTCAAAGCCGCTCCGCGACACACCAAAGCCGACTTTTTAAAGTCCAAGGGCGTCGACGATGCCGATATCAGGTACCTTTTGGATGGCATAGAAGAAGAAGAGGAGGGTGAGGCACCAAAGGCCAAGGACGCAACACCAGCGCCAACAGACGTAAGTAAACAAATGCTCCCCATCCCTACTACTCCCTTTCCCGAAATGCTTTTCCTCTACTAACACCCCGTTGCGCGATAGGAATCCAACCAAAAAGCCCTACAGGTCCTCGAGAAATCATTCGCCCCCAAACAACCCGCCGCCGCCGCCTCTGCCTCTCCATCTCCCACCCCTATCCTCGCACCCGGCGAACGCCCCCCCGTCGTGACATACCCCGAGTTCCTCACCAAGCCCCAGCGCCCACCCCCCCTGGTCACCACAAACGGACTCCTCAACACGCTGTATGCCTTTGGAGGCTTGTCCGCGCTCATCTACGGCACGACAAAGTTCGCCGTCGAGCCAATGGTGGAGAAGCAGACGAGCGCGCGCATCGAGCTGCACGAGACCGCGGCAAGCAAGCTCGACGCCATCGTCGCCAAGCTCGAAAACACCGTCTCCGTCGTGCCCTCGTACAAGTCCGCTTCTGCTGTGGCCAACGCAACGGACGCAAACGAGGAAGATCCGTCTGAAATGTTCCACCGCGACGTCGGCACCCAGACATCCTTCCCCACCAGCCCTTCTACCTCATCGCTCCAGAGCAAGGGCGAGGCCGAGTCGAAGCTCCAAGAGGAGCGTCTCTCGAAATTCGCAAAGTCACTCAAGGGGCTTACCGAGGATTTCACCTCGCAGAGCACCGACTCCCAGGACATCAAGGTCCTGCTGGACGTTTTCCGTGACGACCTGGATACCATGACGTACGGGCATCACGCTGAGCTATTCGGGGGATATGACAAGAGGAAGAAGAAGCCCGATTCGGAAGACGAGATACGCAAAGTAAGGGACAACATCAGGAGGATAAAGGGCGTACTGCTGAGTGCGAGGACGTTTCCTACATCTGCCAGGTAAAAGACAGCGGGAGATTTGCATGGCGTGTTGTTTGCATGGTTCACAGCTTCCATTGTTATAGGCATTTTCTTCAGGCATCTAAACTAGCGAAAGGTCGTATTTCTTTGATTTGCCGTTGACCTTTGGGTTATTCTTGACATACAGTAATAATGACATCTTGTATAACATTGCGTACTCTGTGGCCCCTTTGGGTCCACGTCCAAAATATATCCTTGCGTTTGAAACTCCTCTCTCGTGGCCCTTGGTCAACTCCTCCCTGCTTATATACACCAGAGCTCCAAAAGCCATCATGGCCATCGGCTAGGAAAAGGGGGAGAAGTGAGGAGACAACCATCATATGCCATCGTTGACAGACACTCTTGTGTAGTTGAAGCGATTCGCGTCGATGACGCCAGACTGACCAAGCCTTCAGCCTCCTCTCTGCAACGTACTGTCGACTCTCCATCTCTTGAAGACTTCGTGCCACGGCAAGACCGCGATATGTTCAAACGCTCGGCCCTCGTTCATCTGCGCGCTGTACCACTCCATCGTTGGCTTGAAGGCGAAGGCGAATTCCCTCCCTTCCAGCTGGGGGTCGTTTTGCTGCGCCTCGTGATACAGCCAATTCGTGCATTGAGACGTTTCCTGCCTGCCATCGCTCCTTCTTGGCGGATGGAAAATGACCTTTGGGGGCCCTGTGTCGTCATCCGACCGCAGACTTTCCTGTCTTGTTTCGCTATGGGCGGAGGCCAGGCTGCCCTTCCGATCCCCGGCCCGATTCCCCCGCTCGTCCTCTCGTCGAGACTCCCTCTCGTCCTCGCGCCGGTACTCCCGCTCACCCTCACGCCGGTACTCCCGCTCATCCTCACGCCGGTACTCCCGCCGCTCCTCCCGCTGGTCCTCCCACCGGTCCTCCGGGGGCCTCTCAGGGGAGACAAGACTCCAACCTCTTCCGGTGAGATCTTTGGAAGGTGCAGGTATCCAGTCTCTAACCTTTAGCGGCACGTTCTCAAGCCAGTGAAGCGTGGCGTCCATGGCAGTAACACCGGCTGGATGGCTCCCGAAGGCGCCGACCCAGACATTTTGGAGCGGCAGTTTGCTGTCCCATGCCCTATCTCCCACGTAGTCGATCAGACGGCGCTGAGTCTCGAGGAGATCGGAAGAGTAGAATTTCTTGCCCTTGCTGATGCTGTCTGAGTACCGAGTATCCCAGATGAATAGCTCTGAGCTCCTCCACGGCCGGCTATGCGGGTTCTCGGGACGAAGCACGGCCGCCCAAGGTGAGCGTTGGACGTTGTGGATCGTGAGCGACGAAGCTTGATCCTCATCGAAGGTATAGAAGAGCCCCGCTAATGAGTTGTGCGGGCTTTTCTTCGTCCCCTTGGCTTCCAAAATAACCCAGAAGAATGAAAGCCACTTCTCGAACGTATGGTATATGTCACTCCTATCTCCCAGACGGAAGGAGATATCCCTATGTGAATAGCCCACGGGGTACCAGTATACCTTCGCGGGGCTCCAGCCACGCTTGGTGTCGACGACTATTCCGCTTAGGCGCGACCTCACCATGGAGGCTTCATCCTCCCTACTTTGCCGCGGCGCAGGAAAAGGCGTCGATGGTTCAGGCGGTCTCGGAAGAACTGACGGCTGCCCATCCGGATCATTCACCAAGGGGCTCTTGTAGTTCGGAGTCCGAATGATCCTCGAGAGCCGTGCTTCGGTTTGCTGGCCGGAACCTACGACGGCAAATCTTCGATACTGATGTATGTGGAGGGTAGACCACCATCCGAACCAATTGACCAGGCTCTGTTCATCGTTGCCGTCTATCGACTCGGGCGCAAAGATGATTCTCCCGGCGACCTCGCTGGAAGAGTCCACAACCAGCTGCTGGAGCATCCTGAAAGTCTTGAACCGGCACATTATTGCCGAGTCGGAAATCCCCTTGGCAACGCGTTCCTCCTCCGGAGCCCTCAGCGGACATCTGTATCTCATGAGCAGCTTCTCCAGGCCCAAGTCGTTCATCCATTCGTCTACTTTTGCGCACAAGACCAATTTACTAGGTCGGCTCACGTCGGGATTTTTGACGAATTTGATCCAGAACCACTTCATGAACGAATAGGCATTCTCAGGCTCAGAGATGAAGAAGCTGGGCGTGACCAAGAACGCTGCACCAGGATCGAACACTCGGTGAAGGCGGATATCGCCGAGAGGGGATGGCGGCGACTCTGCAGAGCCGAGTGCACGGATTGGCGAGAGAGAGCGGCTGAACATCCAGAACATGTAGTTTGCCCGGGAGCCATGTAGAATGTTGTGGAGCCCGGGAAACAAGCGTATCGACCACAGTGCATCCTCATGGATAATGACGACTCCATGGTTCAGCTTCAAGAAGCTGTCCCAGTGGCCTTGAGTGTAAGTGGCTCGAATATCACACTTGCCGTTGCTATCCCTCAGCCACCAGCATAGCAGGAGAGCCTCCTGTTCGGCACGAGGGGGAAAAGCTATGAAAAAGTTGTGCCTCTCTGCATTTTTCGCGAAAGGAGGCAGTAATTGTTCATATGTCGGCCCAAAGACTCGACTCAGGGGCCTTGAACAAGACGCGGATCTCTCATCTCCTGTGGTCAGACCTGACAGTCTCAGCTGCGGAGCGGGAGACAGCATCAATGGGTCCAGGGAGTCGGAATCGCTCGCCTCGAAAAGGACGTACCAGAGGCTTGCATCACTCGCGTCTTGCGTCGGTTGACCACTGGGTTCCTCAGAGAAGGAGATGTAGATGCAGAAGTCTTCGCCAATGGACAGCAACCCCATGGAACCTAGTCTGAGGTTACTCGCTAGGTTTCTGATGGCTTCGTTTTCGGTACGCGAAAAGACAGCTCCTTCACAGAGGGGTATGATTTTCAGTTGACCACCCTCAGCGGTCTGACAAGCGAAATCATGGCGAGTGCAAGTATGTGTGAAGATGAGCGGCTCGGCTGAGCAAAATCGTTTTGCCCAGCTGGCATCTGCCTCGTCAGGTAGCCCGTCGAACGAAAGAGTAATGCCACTTAAGCTGTCCGAGCCCAGCTGCACCGCTTTGCTGATGGTTTTTGAGCTGTTTGGTTGCTCACTATTCTTGTGGCCGTTGAACTGGTCCAAAATATCCGAGGTTGGCGATGGCGTGTCATCGGATACAAAAAGGCTCTCGCTTTGGTCTAACTCCATCGGCTCATCTTCCCAGTGAGCCACGCCCTTCGTTGGAGACCTGCGCTTTCCGTTGGCTTGATCGCCACCCTTGGCATCATGGGCTGATGCCTGCTCGCCTGACGGAGCCTGAGAGTTGTAGGGATCAAGAGAGATGAGTCCGGATGGGAGCTGAGTCGGCGCTCTTGTCCCTTCCCGATCTCGGCGTTGCAACTCTAACCTCCTCTTGAGTCGCGAATTGAGAAGCTTGGGCTTGATTGTCGGGTCAGCCGCCACCTGGCTCAGGGTATGTCTTCCCTTGCGAGTAAGACCGCCAGTGAAGATGTTCGTGTATGCTGCCGATTTTGCTGCAGGTGCCCGTTGGGAGAGAGACAACCGCCTCGGCACCCCGTCGGAAGCTTCTGAAGGCGGGATCAGGAACCTAACCGATCCTCGCGAGGTGGTTTCGGCGCTCTTCAGTGCCGACTTGAGCTTCATAGGAGGAGGAGGAGGGGGAGGAGGAGGAGGAGGAGGAGGAGGAACGATGAGCCTTGGCTTTTCTGGCGGGTTCTCGTCAGGTTGTCCAAAGAGCACTTCTCGCAAAGACTTCCGGGGAGAGAGGGCACCAATTGACGGTACCATTTGAGGCGAAGGGCCCGAGATCCCTCCAGCAGGCTGCATCGTGGGGGAAGGAAGCTCATTGTGTGATGAGTCTTCAGGCAGGCCCTGTTCTGAGCTTTCTGGAGGCTGCTTTATAGTGGATGACGGCTGCTTGTTTGACGGGTATTCTTGATGCGAGCCCTGTTCTGATCCTTCGGGAGGCTGCTTCGCAGGAAAGGGGGGCTCGTTGTTTGGTAGAGGCTGTGGCAAGGCCTGTTCTGGGCCATGCCGAGGCTGCCTTTCATGACATGATGTGTGGTTCTTAAATAGATCTTGAGGCACTCCCTGTTCCGAGCGGGCTGTAGCTGCATCATCCGGGCCAGATTCTCCCCGCCCTTGCCCATCGTCTTCCTCGTCATTTGCGTATAGACTGAGCTCTTCGAGCAAACCTTGACGAGTAAGCGGCAACAACGTCTGGGCAAGGCCGCGCCTTGCTCGCTCAACGTTGCGACGGTTGTGCCGAGCACATCGTTCATCGTATCCTCGCATGACGGCATCCTTCCAGTCCTGGACGGTGAATCTTGGTGCCAATCCATTTCGTTGCCTCGCCTTGGCCAGCTCCCACTTCGCCACCAGCTCCTCCGGCAGGTTTCTTCTGGGTTCCCAGAGTCCATCTCTCAAGGGGAGGTTCTGCCACAGAAGCAGACAGTGGGGCTCTCCGCGTACATGTCGTTCAGCAAGGATTTCATCGACGTTCATCTCCGGCTCGTTGTCCTCATCCGTGGACGTGACCGAGACGGCATCGCCAAAGCCCACGTCAACCTCGCCAGACGCCATTGTCGAGGATGCTCACGCGAGAAGCCGCGTCCAGCCCGAGCAGCGTGGTGGTTGCTACCTTAGGCCGTCTTCCTGGCCTTGGATTGTTTGCGAAGACAGTGAAAGAAAACTGCATTCACGTGATTGCAGCTGTGCACAGCTGTCGAAACAGCAAACATGTCTGCCTCTGGCCTGGATGGAACTATGGGGACTAGACTGGGAGCTGCTGGGCGCGAGACAGACGGCGGTTATTCTGTGCCAACAGACTGTCCGGAGCGTTGAGCGTGCCTGAGGAGGTGATGCATACAAGCTGCATGAAGCTGTTTGCTAAAACGCACAAGCTACCACACCTTTTTTACAGTGGCTTGAGGGGCCCTCGATTCCGCTGTTGCACCGCATGGGGCGCTGAGGGTCGGGAGCTTATCTAATCGGCAGCGTTGAAACCACAGGCAAACAGGGTCTTCGGTTGGTACCTAACGTATCCAACATGAGTCCCACCGGCTTCAGTTTGCTACCTTGCTGAGGTGGACGCGGTGAGAGCCTCGCATGTGTCCCGCCTGGAGTTGGCCTCGTAGGCAGTAGCTTGGGCGTCTAACAGGCATCTGTTTACTTGAAATTGCATCACAACCAACGCGGCGCTCTGTGGCGTTGCTAGGCAGCTCCTTTTAGTACCTTGTTCGTGTAAGGCACCTACATGTACTTTAGGTACCTTCTTAGGAGTTATCACTCACTCTACAGAACTCTGCATGCTGTATGGACTTGGATGCTCGTGAGAAGTTTCAGGAAAAAAGGGGCAGCTGCCAATGGGACAAACAAGCATTGCTCCGTCCACACGACAGTACTGTAGCTCTGGTGCTAGAGAAAACGGGGTCCAGCGTCTCCATCCGGCACTCCTTGTTGGTGGGCTCCTCAAGCACCCAAAGGGCATTTTGCTTGGTGTGCTTCCCAGCAGAGGGCACCACTAAGCCGCTTGTGCTAGACGACGGCCGTTCACGTCCACCCAAGCTAACCTTGGGAACATCAAACACTGGACCTGTTGTAGGGGGGTGTCGAGGTTGGGTACCTCCGCGGTACCTGGTGTTTCATGCAGAGCCAAGGGGAGCGTGCGGTTGCGGGCAAGTCGCTGCCAGGCTGCGGGAAATGCATTCCTCGCTGCCTGCAAACGCGCCTCCTGAGCGAGCTCTCGAATCCCCAGGTGGCTTTTAGCGACCCGACTACACTAACCTTACCTCACCTTACCGGACAAGTACAGAGGCTACGGAGTACAAGTAAACCAATCGTCAGAGCCGCGCAGCCACTTCTTCCCCTCCACATCCACAACCTGATCCTGAACACCTCGACTCTCCCAGCAGACCGACCGACCGCCTCCCAGCAGCACCAGCATCAGCATCTACCCGCCAAACCCTCCTCTGCACCGCGCGCACAGCCTCTGCTGCTACCATGGCCAACGACGAGTATGATGTAGGTCCCGCCCGCTTCATCGCCCCGAGCCCGAATGAAATGAACACCTGGCGGAACGCTAACGGCGATGCTTCAACCCCCCACTAGTTCCTCTTCAAAGGTGCCGCTCTCTCCTGTGTCTCGTGGCCGCATTTGCGTCCGACTGCCTTGGTGCTGTGATACTGGAATTTGATACTGACCCCCCTCGCCCTGGCAGTTGTCTTGATTGGAGACTCTGGAGTCGGAAAGTCCAACCTTCTCAGCCGATTCACTCGCAACGAGTTCAACCTCGACTCCAAGTCCACCATCGGTGTCGAGTTCGCCACCAGATCCATCCAGGTCGACTCCAAGACGATCAAGGCGCAGATTTGGGACACGGCCGGTCAGGAGCGTTATCGCGCCATTACTTCCGCATACTACCGAGGTGCCGTCGGCGCCCTCCTCGTCTACGACATCAGCAAGCACCAGACGTACGAGAATGTCACGAGGTGGCTGAAGGAGCTCCGGGACCATGCCGATGCAAACATTGTCATCATGCTGGTTGGAAACAAGAGCGATTTGAGACACCTGAGGGCTGTGCCTACGGATGAGGCCAAGGCATTTGCTAGTGCGTCTTGCGGTCCAGATCCAACCAAATGACGGGCCTTGTTTGTCGCTGACCAATGTCATTCTGCAGGCGAGAACCATCTGTCCTTTATCGAGACGTCCGCCCTCGACGCCAGCAACGTTGAGCTTGCTTTCCAGAACATCCTTACCGGTGCGATCCATCCTCCCCTCCACCTCTCCCCCAACCCCTCGCCGACATGAGCACTAACGCAGTTCCCCCATCAGAAATCTACCGGATCGTATCCAGCAAGGCGCTCGACAGCGGCGATGGTGCCCAGGCCACCATTGGTGCTGGCACTAACATCTCACTCAGCAAGGCGGCCGACGACGAGGCTTCCAAGAGCGGCAAGTGCTGCTAAGCTGCCTCGCAGTTATGATGATGCCAACGACATGTGGGAAACGAGGAAATATTATAGTCGCATGTTTCGAAAATGTACGTCGCATACCGGAAGGCTTTGACACTGTGACGGGTCGAGGAAACGAGGAGGGGGCCTGATGCTTCCCTTTTATTTTCTTCAAATTAGAAGGGCGCAGACACGTTTGACTTTTTGTTATTTCTGTTTGTCGCGATGGGGGGTTTCTGGGCTGATCTCTGCGATGGCGGCTACGAAGCCTCTCATCTTACGTAGCTACATGAATTCTTAATGAAACGAATCGTCTTTTTTCCAGCATGACCTCCATTGCCAAATGTCGCGATGAGGGCAGCCCCTCGATAGGAATCAAACAGAGTCCGTTCCGCCTTTTGATACAAACACTTGAACCCGCATGGAAGTTATCGGCCGTGCTGGTCCAAGCGAGCGCTAAGCCGGGCTTGGACTCGCTCGCCGGGGGCCCCACTTCCATGAATTTTTCGATAAGGATTTCGACGGCTTATCGCTTGCGCTCCTCTAAATTTTTCTAGCAACCACCAGCTGCTGCTATATCATACTTCACCTATTGCAACTTGGACGCCTGTACCAACCTGCTGAAGCAATCCCTATTCCTTCGAGATGGCGGCCGTATACAAGTCCCTGTCCAAGAGCGACAGCGAAAAGCACGAATCATCGACCAATGGCGTCAAGAAGAACAAGCAGAGGGTGCTGATCTTGTCCAGCCGAGGTGTCACCTACAGGCAAGTTCTTGCAGCAGCGACGGATGCCATTGCATTGCGCTCCGGGGCTTTTTCTTCTAACACTATCTTCACAGACATCGTCACCTCCTCAACGACCTTGCCTCTCTGCTCCCTCATGGCAAAAAGGATGCAAAGTTCGACTCGAAATCCAGACTAGGCGAGCTCAACGAGCTGGCGGAACTCTACAACTGCAACAACGTCCTGTTCTTCGAGGCGAGGAAAGGCAAGGACTTGTACGTTTGGATGAGCAAGGTGCCCAACGGCCCGACTGTCAAGTTTCACCTTCAGAACCGTGAGTACTGCATAGATAAATTGTCCCTTTGCGACGTCTAGTTCTAACAAGAGATTCCTTCAGTGCACACGATGGAGGAACTGCACTTCACCGGCAACTGCTTGAAGGGCTCGAGGCCAATCCTTTCATTTGACGCCGCCTTCGAGACGCAGCCGCATTTCCGCGTCATGAAAGAGTTGTTCCTTCACACATTCGGCGTTCCGCAGGGCGCGCGAAAGTCCAAGCCCTTTATCGACCATGTCATGGGCTTCAGCATCGCGGACGGCAAGATCTGGATTCGAAACTACCAAATTAGCGAAGTCGAGAAGATCAAGACCAAGGGCGATGACGAGGAAGAGTCCGAGGAAACCGCCGGCGCCGGCAAATCCGGCAACTCGGACATCAACCTCGTCGAAATCGGACCTAGATTCGTTCTCACGCCCCTGGTGATACAAGAGGGCTCATTCGGCGGACCGATTATATACGAGAACAGAGAGTTCGTCTCTCCCAACCAGATCCGGGCTGACATTCGGAGGGCAAAGGCTGCAAGGCACAACGGCAGGGCGGAGCAAGCCGCCGGCCGTTTCGCCAAGAAGGACGATCTGGGTCTCCGATCAAACGGCAACCGACGGGCCAAGGACGAGCTGGACAAGACGACACTGTTTGCATAGCCGGCATGATGATTTACAAGGGGTAATGAGGGGGGTGCGATATCGCGGCGATATGCCTGATGGTGTGCTGTGGATGACACTCAGGATTTTGAATTGTATTTATCACAGGTGGCGCACAAATGGATTTCAGGGCACGGCAATCTTTCGTCTGGCAGATGATTTACTTCAAGAACGCGTCCGACACGCGCCGATGTTGCTTCCGTTTTAGATGATTAATTTAGACTGTTGGATTTCAAAGCACTGATGGATTCTATTGAAGCATGGCCAAGAGAGGAGCCTGGAGGGAACACAGCGTCAAGCAACCAGTCTCATTCCTCTTGGCCAGCTTATCGGTTTGCTTCTTTGTGCCCAGAAGCCCCATGACTGGCGCCAAATCCGTTGGACGAGACTGAATCTCGTTGAAGCAGAGCAGCAAACTCTTGTCTTTTGGATTCTATTCGCTGGCTTCTCATACGTACTCTGCCATTTCTTGACACTCTTACAGGGAGAAGCCTGCCTCGAGTATGTACCTAAGAATGATGGGTTATACATACCTTTGCGCTGCCATGTCATTTCTCTCCCGCCAGACTTGATTTTTATTTGTTACGAAACAAACATTGGATAGACTCTTGCTCTTTATAGAAGCCTCTTTCAAAATGGACAAATTCCACCAACGATGAGCCACCAACGATGAGCGTGAATCGTTTGATTGCTTCAGGCCAGTATAAAAATAAGGTATGTAGTGAGGTCTGTTAGTAGCACCAGCCACCCACCGCACTGCTGAGGCTCACCGCACGGCTTAGTGGCTTCAGCAGGGCTAAAAAGCCCAAGCGTTCAGGCTGTCAACTTCACTAACGAACCGCTGCGTCTCGTCTCATATGAATCTCAGCCTCTATCTCTGCTATCAATCTCATCCCTCTCGAAGGCACCAGGCCAGCCATAC